AGATCTGACCACTGACCCAGGCAACCTGATGTCAAAACACAAACTTTGAACCATGGCTTTCTACCTAACTCTCTAAAGTACAATCTAACTATCTAAAAATCGATCACATTTTTGATGCATAACTTTGATTATTAATAAGATTATAAGAAGAAATAATTGCAACGTGAGTGACTATATGAAGCAGAAAATTAATTTTAAGTCAGTATTTGTAGATAAGAATACCACCTTTTCATAGGAAAGGAAATCTTTCCTATGTATCTTGTTTGAGAATTACACTGTTACCACCTGTCAGTATTTAAAATGCATTTACTGGGTAAAGTACTCCACAAAGATAATTTGATTTAGTCAAAATAACAAATGTGTGGCATAAAGTAATAATATCCTCATTTTATACATGAAGACACAAAAGTTCAGGAGTTTAATTTATTCAAACTTGTAGTATTAGAAAGTGATAGGACATGAACTTGAACACAAGTGGCTTGCATAGGCTATTTGGCATTATGTCTCTTACCATAGTTAGGTGACTCCCCACGGATAACCCAGCAAGCAGAATACGAACAGGAAAAAAAAAAAGGTAATTTGAACTTTAGAAACATAAAGATTTTTTAAATTTTGCAAAAGCACCTTTTACACTTGGGGACAAAATAGTTTCTTGAATTTCCTTTTAGCATTCTAACTTTAACTTGGAGATAGGTAGAGGATATTTTAGAAAGCTCATATTATAAAACAGAAACAGAATAACATTATTGACTTTGTTTCATTTCAAGTTTAACAAATGTCATATATGTTGTTTGTTTACCTGGTTTATTTTATTAGTCTAAATTAGTGAACACATTAAGACATGATTTTAACATGAATTTCTGATGAATGTAATCTGGATCCTATCCTAGATTTGTTGGATTGGGTTAAGTGGATGCTTTGTTCTTAAAGAATTGTACTTTTTGTTCCATGTTAGCAGATTAGCTTCTTCTTTCTAGTGGATCATCACCAGGGTATCTTTGTGCTTGTGACTAGAGAAGCAAGCTATTGTTAAGATTATTTTTCTCTGTGTTTTGCATGTGTTCAGTGCTCCAGTAGTTGCAAATGTCAAACTGGCTGGTGTGCAGGACACACAAATAAGATCTACATAAAAGAGAACAGCTCTGTTAAATATTGCCCATAGAAAGGCAAATGTACTGAGATAGTGATTATAGCACAGGAAGCTCCAGGTGTAACCATAATGATGGCAGGACCGTTTCTTTCTGTCCTGCAGTATTTTATATCTATTGCCCTCAGAACAAGAGAGTGTGCATTCATGGGTAGCAACTGTCATTTCCCGTCCTGTAAAACTGATTTTATTGCAATCTCCTGCTTTTAGTTACTGAAAACTTGCTGAAAATCCTCTATAAAAGGTAAAGCTTCCACTGTTGTGGCCTCTTTTAAAAAATACAACTTGAGTGAAAAGAGTAATACTTAAGTTCTAAAAATATGGCAAATGATCAAGTTAGGAAGGAGTTCAGAAGGTTCACAATTAAAATGAGCTGTGAATTAAAGCATGACCTAAATGAACAAATACAGGCAAAAATTGATCACTTCTACTTTCTGAAGTGCTATATTGCTTATTTAAGCAACTCTTATATACTAGGATGTTCTACTTTATAGTCCATACAGGGTAAAATGGAATTTAGTTTGTCTCCATCCCTGCCATTAGCATGCATTCAATTTAAACTTAAATTATTTAGCTTTACTTATTTAATGAGCATATAATCCTTAAATGGTTGATTTTTTTGTTTAACTTTAGATAATAATTTCATTTTAAAGCACTATTTGGATTTTTGCATTTAGGTGACTTAATGATTATATTCAGAATAATTTTCTATGTATTTTTAAATATATTAAAATATATTTTATATATTTCAAAATACATGTTCCATATATTTTAGGATTTGCCATTCTACTTGGTATATAAACCTGGAGGTTGTCAGGGAGAATGCTGACATATATTCATACATGTTCATCTTATACTATGTTGAAAAGGGAGAGTCATTAGTTAGCCTTTGTTTGAGTCCTTCAATGCAGTCCTCTAATTTGACTAAATGTCTGACAGTGTGAATGTTTCATTAGACTTTTAGTGGCTTATTTATGATTTATGCATTTAAAAAAATCCTCATATCTAAAACTTTCATTTCATAGATCTTCAGGGTTGACAGAGCTAGTAATATTTGATCATCACAGCAACACTGGGAGATTAACAAGATTTTCTCCCTTTTACATATAGATAAACTGAGAGTGACTGTGGTTGTATTTAACATCCAATGTGACTACAATTATTTCCACTCTGGCCTAAATCTAGACCTCTGCATGTCAAACTGTAATGTGTTCTCTGATTAAAATTTAAAAAGTAAGCCTGTGTTCCTATCAATTTGTGAGGCTGAGGCAGGAGGATGGCAAATTCTAGGCCAGCCTGGGCAACTTTGTGAGACCCTATCATAAAATTTAAAAAAAATTTAAAAGTCTGGGGATATAACTCAGGTGTCCTGGGGCTCTATCTATCCTGAGCACTGCAAAATAAATAAATAAATAAATAAATAAATAAATAAATAAATAAATAAAATCTGAATCAGATTCTCCACTTTCATCTGACATTAGAAATGATTTATGCTCTATTCTTTATCTCATAAAATATGCTAGGATATTTTTAAGATTTATAATCTAGGAACATTGTGTGTAGCTTGAGTGTGAGAAAAAGGAATTTCAATTGTGTTTCAGCCCATGCTTATTTAGAAAATAACTTCTTTTTAGCCACGTTAAAATTTGGGGGTTGTTTCTAGCAATTTTATCTGATAGAAACATGGCTTCATAAAATGTGTACTTATGATATTCCTGTATTTGTGAGTACAGGAACATATAGATAGTATGAGTTATATACTATGTAGCATAGTGTATGTTACACACTTTTATGTTTTTATAGGTTTGTGTGTGTGTGAATGCCTGTTCTCTAGAGATGGGGATAAGGTTGTTTCAGTTACATGAGTCTTTGGTGTTGCACTGTAAATTTGGCTGTGTTTTGTCAAAATCATATGAAGACAAAGCTCTGCCATAAAAATTATTGAGACTCTCTTCTCAGCTTTATGTAAACCCACAGGATCAAATATTTAGCTTGGAATGAAGATGTAAGGCTGTGCGTACTATAACACAATACATCACTTAGAATTGGGGCTTGTTACGGCTCAAGATAACATGCCACTTGTTTTCCTGAAGTCATGCACCAGGGTCCTACAGTTCATTCCACCATGTTATTTCAGTTACCCTACCCTGAACCCCTGTTAAGGCTAAGCTCTTTGTTTTCTCTTAATCTCTTTATCCCCTTTTCTGTTATTTCAGCACTTATTTTGGAAATATAGTCCCCATGTTGTGTTTCAAAATTTTTCTTACTAAGAAGAGAATTGTAAGAAAAATCAGGTAATCTCAGCCAATGGAAATCAGAGATTGTGTTAAATCAAGTTTAAGGAGAAAATTTATCATGAAAATAATATGACAATGATCAATGGTCTCCTCCATCAGTTACCTGTGATATAATGCCTGTAGAAACGGTAGAATTTCCTTCCCACCTTCTTCTTGCGCTGACACTCAGTATGGGGTCCCCACACTTCTTGTGTCTAGTGGCCACAAGTATGGCAGACAAATTGATCATGAGGTTACTTCCCTGCACCTGATTTTTCCTGTTCTCAGAATCCCTAACAGTCATCAGGTCCTTCATATTTGCAACCTTCATCCCTCAGTTCATTTTCTTCCATGGTTGCTCTGTGCAACCATCTTATTCATGAGAATAAGATGCATCAAAGATGCAGACCAAGACTCCTTTAGTAATGTTAGTTGGCCACAGAGACATAAGCAAGAGGGCTGCCTTCATGCACAGAAAACACTTCTGAATTTTACATCTCCTTTATGTAGTATAATTTGAGACCAGCCATGGCATGGCACTGACCAGAACTCTGAAGTAGTTTAATATTTTCTTTTTTTCACAGCTGATGAGAAAACAACAAAAGAAAATAAATAAAAACCAGCCTTTTAGTAAAAGATTTTTCAAGAACAAGTACCTATGTCACTTAAAACTAAAGTGTCTGCAGTAATTTTAAAAATTCACTTTTTGTTATAACCATTACTACAAAAGAATATTAGGTAATGTTTTTGAACATACTGCCTATTACTAGGGTACAGTTAGAAATTCATTGACACAATAAGATTCTGTCTCTGTATATCTATCTATCCCCTTGTGTATGTGTATATAATGTACGTTATCAGATACTCTGTTACTAGTTTTTCCTGTATACAAATGTTCTTTGGATTTCCTTGGTACAAAAATTCACTGTAAATCTTCCTAATATTTAAAATAACATTAGTGCTACCATGCTAATCAATTTTATGTGAGTTTCTGAGCACTTTTAAAATGTCATGAATCATTGTACTATTCGTTCTTCCCAAATATTTTTGTTCTCACAAATAGGTGATTTTTCTGACACATAATTGAGTGAAATAGGTCCCCAATTTTTAAACCATTTCAAGAGTGAATATTATAGAGCCAATTCCCAAGGACTCTCTTGAGACTATGATCTGATTATTTTCCAGTGAACAACACTTTGAACAACACTTTTGTTCACTGATGGATGGTATGATGTGTTTATGATCTTTGGGTTATATCCAAAAAACCTATGCAAAGGACAGGGATTTCAGAATCATTCTATGGTTCTGAGAAGAATGTCATTACCAGTTGAGATTATTCTGGTCACAGTTAAAGTCCTTCAAATAACTGTGAAAGTAACTCTGAAAATATTGTGAAATGATAACAAGAAAAAATTAGTGTACTGTTATATAAGTCAGAAATATTTGAAAATGTAATCCTCTAAAATTCAGCAATATATTTGATATAGCAAATATTAGAGTTACCTATTGATTGCTAATTGTGTTTAAGATTATAGCTATATTTTGAAATGTTGATTATATTTCTCCTTCATTTGTAGGTAACCCATTAACCAAGGATAAATCAAGTGATCCTCCAGGCTGATTACATTGAACATATGCATAGAAATTTAACTCTTGAGGTGATCTTGAAGATTTTTATACTGCTCAGAAGGGCTCCAGAGTCTATTTCCAAGGGATTCTATGGCTCGTTACCAGCCTCTTCTTGAGATCAAGACTTTAAAAATGTCAAACATGGACTTCTATATCATAAAGACTTCAGATTTGAACTGCGCTCCACTTGTAAAGTTGCTAAGGGAATTTGAAGTTGCTGCCTGCAGAGCTGGTGGAGAGTGGGTGTTTACAGTGTGACGTCACAGTCACCTTTTGGGGTGCTGTGACTGCTTTTCTTGTTTCTGAAAGCTGTCTCCGAAGCACACTGTCCTTCTGTCATGGATGTGTTCCTGGGTCCTTTGTTCACTGGCAAATGGGACTGTACACAGCTTTGATGACACTTCCTTTGAGAACTTCTCTGGCATGGCATAGACTGAGACAATTTTCTTTGTATCCTAATCTTGGAGCTCAAAAAGCCTATGTGTTTTAACATCTTAAGGTTGCTTTTGTTAAAGGAATGGAAATATATATCCATCGATAATAATTATTGTTGGCAAGTAATAGTAATCTGAGTACATCAATCATGTAAGAATGTATAGACAAGCTGACATGTTACCCCAAGGCAAACCCACTACTGCAGCTCTCTGTCAGTTAAATAGCTAGTAGTTAGAACTGGATCATCATCTTCATTATACAATACTTTGTATTACTTCTAGAGCACTCTATTGTTTTTTTTTTCCTTAAAGTGGGCTTTTTCTTTCTTTTTGTTTACTTTTTCCCTTTACAGAAATCAACAGTGAACTGTCAAGGTATTATGTAGCCCTCAGATTCAAAAACTCACCAGGGATGCATGTGCGTTTCTGATTCTTAGCTTGAACGTTATTCACTTAGACTTCTTCTGAAACTTTTTTTCAAATGTCCTTTTTCTATCTCATTTTAAAAGATTGTCTCTTGCTTGATCCCAATGACTGTTTGAATGCTTACATATTTGTTCAGTCTGTTGATAGAATAAATTGTTCATTTTCCTTGGTCAGAAATTTATAAATATTTGCTTACAATTGTTCCATTTGAACAATTTCATAAGCCAGTATTCTGTCCACATTTTCATAGTCTTTTAACATTTGTGATTTTTTGGTTCTACGGGAACGTCTTATAAATATTTAAAAGCCTTAAACATTTATGTACTTTTTTCTAAGTTATTACAGAATGTATAATTTTATACTGCGTTTATTTTGTTTCATTTGTGATGTGGAAGGAGGGAAGAATGGAAATTGTAGAGCCATTCTGTAATAATATTGTGTAAACCTATAGATTGAAGGAATGTAAAGGGAGGGATTTCTGTGTCCTGCTTGTTTTAGACTAATCGGAAGATACTTCTGAAATGATCCTATTAGCAGTTCCATCCTGTTAGAGAAGGTGTGAAAATGTTTTGTAATTTTAGAATTCACTGACAATGGCCAGTTAGGCATATGCTGGTTTCCATGAGGGAGGCTCCCAAGTTCTGGGAGCCTTGGGTCTGTTAATTTGTAACAATATTCAAAGACCAATATATTATCCAGACACTATACTGGGAAGAACAACTAAAAATTTACAGTTGATTAAAATTAAATTTGAAAAATATTCTTTTAGCATTGAACTACAAGTCTATGGCCCCACAAGTATGGGGAATGAAATTACTTCCTGCCTCCATTTTAACTGTGCATAAAACTAACCAGATGGCTCCAAGTGGACTTTATAGTGGTTCAAAAGTACATGAAATCATAAAGAAAGAAATAATAGTTGTGCTGGAGTTTCTGCATCAATTAGAATATCATTAATTTCTTTAGAACAAAGTGGAAAACTGTATTATTTAAAAATTATGAATTTGTCCTAACTTCATTTGAAATTATAGATCATGCTTCTCATTTTTTAAACTATGTCCTTTAAAACAACAATGGAAATTCTGTATTATATACAAGTGTAACACATGCATATTAATAGAAAAAATAAATGGAATTTAAAATATACTAACTAGATTATCCCCAGTAGATTAATGTTGTGACTATTCAGAAAAGGTGAATAAAATTGGGATACAAAATGGACTCTCTTTCATAAGTACGATTTGGAAAATCTATGTTCTTTTGTTATACTTTAAAGTCATGTCAGTTACTATCGAGGAAAGCCTCTGAATTCCTAAGAAGGCTGTCATAAATTCTTCACTGTTCTTTTCATAAAAATCCATAGCAAATACTGCCATTTATGTAAGGTTCCAATATCTGGTTTGCTTCTTTGCTAGGAAACAATGAAATGGATACAATTACCCTTTTGCTACTTGCCCAAAACTTGACTATAAGCAAAATTGGCACGATTTTGCAGATGCAAATTCATTTTATTATGAAAATTGTTAATGAATACTGTTCATTATTTTATATATTATAATGGAAATGTGCATCCAAATCAAAAACATGACTATCATTGTTAATCTTTAAAATTTTAAAATACCTTTTCTTTTGACATAACTTAAGATTCACAAGAAGTTAGAAAACATAGCACAGAAGGTTTCTAGGTACCATTTCCAGTTCATTCCACAGTGATGACATCCTGAAAAATCAGAATACCATGCCAAAACCAGGAAACTGACACTGATACAAAACTATAAATGCAATATAAACCTTATTTGGATTTCACCAGTTTTCACATAAACTTCATGTGTGTGTATATGTTCTTAAACTTTTTTACCAAGTTTATATACATCCATTGGAGTATGTTGGAACACGATTACAGTATGAGAGTATAATAGGGACAATGACTGATTCTATTGGGATAATTGTTTTGAAGCCCTCTGTTTTGGAATAACATCCTATAATTTATTTTATTTTATATTTTATTTTATTGTATTGCTTCTTAATACAATGAAACGTCCAGTTTTAACACCAGACAGTACCATACATGATTTCAAATTTGATATCAGTTTTAATGGGTACGAAGAGATCTGAGAATCTGCACCTAGGGTTAAAATAAAAAGGAAGTTTGATCCTGTTTTTTATTTCCTTCAGCAAATCCTGTGTTTCTAGAAGATGCTATAAAATTGGATTGTGACTTCTGATAACACACAACAGCCAATACACAGTAATTAACTGAGTGAGACTTGATCTTTAAAATTTTCATTATTTTCTCAATTCATAGGTGAGACATCTGTCTGAAAGCAATATATGAAAAGAAATCAAGTAGAGTTTTTGTTCGCCTTTTAGCCCATTCTCATTTTGACTCACTAACTTAAATGGATAGACTTAGAATTGTTATTGCACAAAAGGCTCACGCTGATCCCTGAGGCCAATTAGTAGAGGATGGTAGAGAAAAAACTGCCTTACGATAAGCCAGCTGATCAGAAGATGGCAGAGATTCTCATCCTAAAAGGGCTGTCTCGCTGGGAAACTGAGCTAGGAGTGGTTTGTATAGGACCCTATGTAACAGCTGGTATCCTTCTCTCAGGTGAAGACTTGTGGCCAAATATATGATCTGACCTTAATTACATATTCATGTGATGTTTCTCAGTTTGGCAAATCTCAGAGACAAAGATCATCACTTTTGTGGACTACTGTTGTCACTGATTAGTTTGCCCCATTCAGTTCCCGATATATGACACAATGCACAGGCTGGAGAGTGACTACCCCAAGGCCTTCTTATTGATCACCAAACTCTGTATAATGAAAGACAACACACATCATGTGATTACTGTTAAAGATGAGTCTTGTGAAGTTAAATCATGGGTGGGAAATGCAATCTGCTCTCAGCATTCAGCTTCAGAATGATATTAGATTGTTTACAGAAACTGAATATTGGGGGAGACCTATGCTGGGCATCTCCTGCTCCCCTTATCCACATCAAAATCTCATGATGGAGCATTACCATTTTATCAAGGTAAGGACCTTTCTTTCTCCCTCTTTCTTTTGAACATAGAGTGTTTTAGGAAAAAAGCAATGAAAAAGATATATTTATGCATTTCTTGGCTCAGCTGAATTCTGGGGTTAGCGAAATGCATCCTCAAAACTGGCTTTTGAATCAGTTCAACAGACATTTTTTTTTCAATGCTCTGTGTGCATGGCACTATGGAATTAATGGAAAAGTGGATGCTCAGATTTATAACTGCTTCATATTTGCTTTACTTTATCACAGATCATTTTCTTCAACATATTGCAAGTTACTAAATGGTACGTACGATGCCGTAAACCTTTTTCTGAGAGGTCCTGTTTATTACAGAAAGCAATAATTGGTGAGATGGGCTAGATGAAATGCCATTGAAAGATAGATGAGAGTGAAAACTCCAGAGGGTTCTAAACCTACAAAACTGAAATAACAGAGATTCAGTTAAACATGAGAGAAATACTTGGAGAAAAGGCAGACTGAGGGACAGGTGGAGACTTTGGTAAGTCTATCAAGTCTAAAGTGCCAAGAGACATTGATTGAGAAAGTTTATGTTAGATAAGAACTGAACAGATTTAATTAGATTGGTAATTAGAGATTATTATTGGTCTTGGATGGAGCAATTTCAATGAAATGCTCATTGTAGAATTGAGATTTCAGTGGGTTGGAGAGTGAATGACAGATTTGAAAGTGAAAAATAACACACGTAGACTTCTGTTTCTATAGGAAGCAAAAAAAATAGTAGTTATGCAGGCAAGACAGAACTGAAGATCTCACTTTTCTTACTATGGAAGAAGTAAGAGTATGTTTAATTATGCTTCACATAATTAGGGAGAAGAAAGGGAGAGAAAGTGTGTGGGAGGGGGAGTAATTGATGAAGGAAGGCGTGACTATATATACATGATACATGAGTAATAAGGAGGACCACATTCTAAAGAAAGTTGAAAGGGATGAGAACAGGGAAGAGGCATTTGGTGTTAAGTCATTGATGACCTCCAACAGAGTAATATTGTAGGATGGTAGCCCAGGAGTGAAACTGGCACATGGGTGATTATCAACTTATTCCTGAGCTACTGAAACTTAGTTAAGTTACAGTTTAAGATTATAAATGGATAAATGAGAGAGACTAATGAAATCTCAGTACCCTTATTTGTAAAATGGAAATAGTT